GCGGTGGGTCCATGAAATCGAAATCAAGAAGCTGGTCGATCCCGAGAGTATTTCAACATCAAGACGACTCCGTTGAGGTTTGTCCGTTGGATTTCTGGCGTAGTATTTTCCTCTAGCTCGTTGTAGAATGCCCATTTTGTATATAACCGGAAACATTTGCCCGGGCCAACACGGCCTGCTCTTCCTGCTCTTTGGCCTGCAGATGCGCGCGAGCAGGGGGTAACGACAAGGCTCTCCATTCCAGTACGAGGGTTGAACACGTTTTCTTTCACAAAGCCTGGGTCAATCACGTACACGATTCCGTCAATGGTCAGACTGGTCTCTGCAATGTTTGTAGCAAGGACCACTTTTCGCGCTCCGGGGGGCGTAGGTTCAAAGATTTTGGCTTGAAGTTCCGAAGGCAAGTTCGCGTAGATGGGACATATTATCAGTTCCGGTATCTTGGATCCTAGTTTCCGAGCCGTTTCTTGTATACTCTGTTCTGCAGCTTCAATCTCCTCTTGGCCCGTGAGAAAGACCAAGACGTCACCAGCACCCTGACTGATGTGGATGTGGAACACGGTAGTGATCGCTGCGGCAAGATAATTTGCCTCTGGCTGCGACGTATAGTGTATGTCAACAGGATATCTCCGGCCAGGAATGTTGAAAATTGGCGCATCATCAAAATATTTCTGAAATTTTTGAGCATCAATTGTCGCTGACGAGATAAGTAATTTTAGATCAGGTCTTGCCTTGGCAATGTCCTTTAACAGGCCACACGCAATGTCCGTGGATACGGTTCTCTCGTGAGCTTCATCAATCATCAGTGCAGAATATCCCCCGAGGTCAGGCTCCGTGAGCAGTTCACGCAGTAGCATACCATCAGTCATATATTTGAGCACTGTTTTGTCGCTGGTAGCATCCTCAAACCGGATGGCATATCCAACTTCATTCCCAACTTTAACACCCATCTCCTCAGCGACACGCGCAGCAACGCTCATCGCTGCAACTCGTCTAGGCTGTGTGCAACCAATCTTCATCCCCCCTTTAGTATAACCCGCCTCGTGCAAATACTGAGGAATCTGAGTAGTTTTCCCACTACCAGTTTCTCCAACGATGATAATAACCTGATGATCCGCTACAGCTTGTATAATTTCCTCTCTGAATCGGTAGATAGGTAAACTCTTCCTTGTCTCTTCAATGGAAGCTGCTTTCTGCTCCGCCGCATCTAGCTTCTGCTGGAACAGTAGCTGGTCCTTTGTTAACGGCTTTCGGTCCCCTTCCAACTTCGAATCCATGATGAAATTTATTTTCTGCGCATCGTCAAACACATATTCGTAGTCTCCCTCATCAACAAACTCCGCCCTTTGAATTTGCGCTTTAGCCTTGGCCGTCTGCTCATTCTCCCACTCCTCATGCTCGGTAATGAATCGCTCATGCCCATGCTCGTCCCGATCAACATATCGCTTGTAAAGCGCTTCTTCTTTCCGTTTTCGATCAATCTTGCCTTTTTCAGTGATATAATCTTCCGGCAACGCATAGCCATCCCGATAATCGTCAATCCGCATTCTTTCCTCCGCTAACCGAAGAACTTCTCTATTCTTCGCAAACTCGTCTTTTTCCCGACGCGTCAAGTTTGGATTCTCGCGAAGCTCAGCGGTTTCCTCCGCCACTTGCTTGCGCAGCAGAGCTAACCGCTCCGCTTCACGTTTCTTGAGATATTCCTGCCGCGAGCGAAGCCGCAGATCCGGCATCGCCGCCGACCTCGCTGCAGCGTCGTCAGCCAGCGCACGACGTCGGGCAGCTTGTGAGTCCTTCGTAGAAGACCGATCTTCAACGATCTTCTTCGACTTCGACTCGTCCTTTTGCGCAAGGCGTTTCGCGAATTCATCTCGTTCCTTAAGGTCGCGCTGTCTGGCTCGCTCTGCTTTGGTCTCGGGATCTATATCCGAAGAGGGAGAAGAGGATCGAGGGCTTCGAGAGTGTTGTCGTGGTTCTCTTTCCTCGCGCTGATGTCCTTCATCTTGTAGTTGTTCATCATGCATCTCAGCTTCATCCTCGGGTATATCTTCATCACCCCACCGGTCTTCGAAGTCCCTGTCATCCCTTCCTGCGCACCTTCTTCCACCGATGCCGACCATCACGATCATGGTCGCCCTCTCGCTCTCGCTTCCGCTCCCCTCTCGCATCGCGATGCGCACGCCTGCGCCTGGAATCATCATCGCGATCCCGACTCTGTCCACTCTCCCCGTTCTCCTTCGCCTTCCTTCTCAGCTTCCCCGCCTCCGTACTCTGCAGCGGGGCCAATCCAGCATTAACATCCACATCCTCTTCTTCCATATCAACCAATTTGTATCTTTTCTTCAACCCATCCCCTCCCTTTTCCTTGCTGGCCTTTTTGCCGCCATCCTCCGCACTTGAACCGCCACGCACCCGTTTCCAGAGCTCAGCGCAGAACGAATGGATATCACCCTCATCTCCGTCCAGGAACGGTCCTAGCTTCTCGTGTAAGGAGCCGGCAGATTTCGCAGAGCTTGTGGTGGCGAGGATGTAATCGATGACTGTCGCGTCCGACGCACCCGTTAGCCGTAGGAGGGAGTCAGAGATATATGTCCGGATATCCATGGCGGTGATTGCCGTTGCTTACTGCCGCGCGTCTTGGGACAGGTGGATATATCTAAGATAGCTGTGGTACTGTTCGGACGGTGAACGCGAATGGCAAAACGGGCAAGAATGGGCAAGCAGGCGATTGGGGCATGGGACGTGGATCTGGGGCTTCGGAGCTGGCTGGCTTGTTGGGATAGCTACACCATTCCATTTCACTCTGTCTCCCCCCCTCCCAAATTATAACTAGCGAAACTAGAGGAGAATGGAGAAGGCTGCTAAAATCGAGTTGTTATTCCGGAGGGAGGTATCGGGCTTTTCCATACGCCGTAGTAAAAGTGGGTGAATGTCGCGGAACCAGAAGAGAGTCGCCAAACAATACAGAGCTCAAACCCGGGGACAAAAGGAATGTATCATTCCCCCCGACACTTGATTCTGAGACTTTCAATTTTAAAATTTTGTTGTAAACCCGCGTGTCGGGTAGGATAGGTACATAGTTAATGCACATCACCACAACTTGGTTACGGACTTCATCGCATGCCAAGACTGAAAAACACATATAACCACGTGATCGAGAACTGTATCTAAGTTGTTGAACTCAAGACTTACGATAATTCTCCTTTTGACCCAGTGATGAAAGTTCAATTTTATAACTAGTACTCAGATCCGTACCTTATAGTGCCATTATTGAAGAAGAAGAAAGGTCTCATGCGTTTCATTTATTAATAAGAAAGTCTAAACTGCTGATTCGCTCATAATCCTATGTCTCTATACGAATTTACCCTGATTTGATTAGTAGAAGGGCAACACACTAAGCTATTACATATGAGAGTAAAAACAGAAAAATAAATACACCAAAAGATCAAGGGAATTGTCCCAAGGAATTTCAAAATAATAATGGAAAGTGAAAAAAAAAAAAATAAAATAAAATAAAATAAAAATAAAAGTAAAAATAAAAATAAAAATAAAAATAAAATAAAAAAACCCACACAGATATGCTAGTAGAAACCAGGTAATTAAAAAGAAAGATATAAATAATAAAGTCTTTTCAATTCTGAAACTCTCTATACATCTCTAAATCTATCCAGCCTCATTCTGACGGTGCTAACAGAAACCAAGCAAACAAATATAAAATGATTAGTGATAAAAAAAGACAGAAGAGAAGATAAGAGAATTAAAATGAACAAGGAATATAATAATGATAAGAAGAATAAAGAAAATTCTAAATCATTTCAAGAGTGAGCTAGCTATATTACATCAAAAACAAACAAAAAGCTAGGAAGGAGTGAAAAAAAAAAGAGCAGAAAAAAAGGGAGCAAAAAATAGAAAAGAAAAAGGACAGAAGGAAGGGAAAAAACAAAATGAACTCCTCATATGATAGTCAGTCATAATAACAGCCAGTCAGAAATGAAGGGTATGATGATATCAAAATGCAACAGTCAGAAGCAACAAATATATCAAAGCAAAAAGAATTAAACTTCCCCCTTAGCAGTCAGGTGGTTTCTTCCCCTTTGTGTGGACAAAATTCAACTAAGTGCTGTTGTCCCTTTCCCGTATTCCGCTCCGCATTCCATATTCCATATTCCAGTTCCAGTTCCAGCTCCACGTCTTTTTCGCCTTTCTTTTCTTTCCATACTTTTGAAATCCGAAATTTTCCCTTCACAAACTTCCCAGTAACATTGCGTATACTTTTCGGGTATGCTCTATCCGCCCTTCCAAATAAAATATAATTATGGCAACGGCTCCACCCCAATTATCAAACAAATAACTTCCAGGTCCCATGGTGAGCGGCCGCGTTCGCTCCCCCATTAATTTAAAATGGAAAAAAACCAAGAAAAAAAAATACTAAAAAAAAATTAAATAAAACCCCATAAGTTAAGACAAGGATAAATTCCTCCCCTCTCCCAACACCAAACAGGACAAAACTGTTTGGTACCCGTTTCAAATCCCAATTCCAACTCCGTAGTTCTAGCCCTCGAGCTTCTCAAGAAACAAAAAAAAAAGCGACATAAAAAAAAAAACATATAAAAAGTCGAGGAAACAAAGGCATGCAAACCCCATTGAAAAATATGTATATGAAGAAAGAAGAAAACATAATATGTCGAAACCAGTCATTAATTAATAAATATATTTTTTCTTTTCTTTGCCTTTTATGTATGTTGTTGATGTAGAAAATCAAACGTCAATCATCTCCGCATCTTCCGCCAGAACTTCATCCGCAGGACCCCAGTTCCCTTCATAGATGGTAGCTCCAGCTCGGCGCCGCCGTTCAGCCCATTGTACACCGAACGTTTGGATAATTTGGTCTGCAATGGGCCGATCGGCCGGATCGGGCGATATCATCCATCGAACGATGGTGTCTAGCGCCTGTTCATTCGTGGCGTCGACCATAAAATCTGGAGGCTCAGCGAGCTCTCCGCGTCGAACGTATGAGAAGGGTTGCTTTCCACAGGAACCAAATGGGCTAAGGTCATTGCCATTGATGCTGTTTTGTCCAATGACAGAGTGCGAGTCGGTAAAGTGTTGTTGTTCGTCAGAGTCGGATGCACACAGCTGCTCAAAGGTGCAATTGTTGTCGGGGAGTGGGTTTCCAGAGGCATCGCGGAGTATTTTGCTAGTTTCTAGGCTCCACGTTAAACTAGGAACATCACTCATGTCGCCGTTGCGAAGCTTTTGCCATGATACGCCGTTGTCGGGCAGCTCCACGTTCCCTGCTATTTCAAACATGATCAATCCCAAGGCAAATATATCAGCAGGCTTGTCATAACATCCCATAAGGACTTCAGGGCCGATATATTCACGATCCCCTTCGCCCTCAATACCAGCAGCAGCAGGCCAACGGCTTGCCATTCCAAAATCCGCGATCTTGAGGACACCTTCAAAGGTTATCAAAACATTCGCCGGCTTCAAATCCAGGTGGATGAACCCAGAATCATGGACGTGTTTGAGGCCCTATTGGACGTAACTTAGCAAATAGACCGGAGGGAAAATGAATAGAACTTGATGGTTAGACGTATTGCTTACCAACGACAACTCAAGCAGTATTTTCCAAATTCTAAAATCATCAAGCCTGGCCTTAAGTCCCACCTGTGACAGGAACAAGTCTAGGCTCCCTTCTTCGCAAAATTCCGTCTGGATATATAGGATATTGTTGTATTCCCAGCTGTCGGCGTAGGAAATGATATAGTCGCAATTAGCCAGCGCTTTCAAGGCGACAACTTCATTGTTCCGGCGTTCTCGATCCTTTGGACCCGTACACGGTTGATTAGACTTTTTCACAGCCCACACCCGTTCAGCACGAGTTACTGCTGTTGTTTTGTTTTGTTTTTCATGGGTTTGCGAGAAGGAGGTCGGCTGGAATGGTGATCCAAATGGTGTCGTTGATTGCGGTTCAGTGACGCGATATACCTGCGAGAATTCCCCTGTCCCCACTAATTCAACCTTCTCAAAACGAGACGTAAGGCTCGGGTCTATATCTGGTGCGTTGTAACCACCCAGAGAAAGACTTGCTTTTTTCCCAACTGGTGCGAAGTACTCGCGTGGAGCAGTTGGCGTTGCTGGTAGCACTGACGAACGATGATCTTGCGGGGTTGGATCTCCGGTCGGCGTGGGCTGATATCGATAAGCCGCTTGGGATCGAGGGGGAAAAATGTGTTCTTGTGGAGGGGGGG